GACGCTGCTGGTGATGCGCCCCTGTGGAGGGCAGGACGAGGCGGCGGCCGAGGGCGTCCTGCGGCAAGCTCCGGCTCTGGGGGGCAGCGCCGGAGCGGGCCAGCCGATGGGCTACCTGTGTGAAGTGGCCGGCGATGGCGACGAAGAGGCGGGAGAGGACGAAGCCGACCTGCTGGACACTTCGGATCCCCCGGGGGGAGGCGAGAGCACAGCGAGTTTGGAGGACCTGGAGGACGAGGAGACCCATTCGGGGGGCGAGGGCGGCAGCGGGGGAGCCCGAAGACGAGGCAGCGGTGGGGGCGGCATGAGCAAGACCTGCACCTACGAGGGTTGCAACGAAACCACGAGCCAGGTGGCCAAGCAGCGCAAGCCGTGGATGTGCAAGAAGCACCGCAACAAGATGTACAAAGACAAGTACAAAAAGAAGAAAAGCGACCAGGCTCTGAACTGCGGTGGGGCCGCCCCGGCTGGCAGCGTGGGAAGTGTCAAACTGGAGGTATCAGACCCTAGCTGGGGTCTTGGGGAGTGGGAGGTGGAAGAAGAAACTCCATTCTTGTGCAGACCGCACTTCCAGCGCCTGCCACCAGCCGCCAGAAGGGTCAGGTTGCCGTGGCTGGACTTGAGGCCGCGAGTTAGTGAGTGCTTGCCCTATAAAGTTTACACAAACGTGTGCAGAGCCTTAAGAGTTTGTTGCATCCTTGTGATAGATGAATACATTTCAATGAAAATGATGTTACACGTCTGAAGAGCTGTCATTTCAGAGATCTGGGATATGGACTGGAAGGGCAGGTAGTAAAGGTTCATCAGCAAAATAGCAGGTAAAGAGACTTAGGAACCTAGATGAAATTGGTACTTCATCTAGGAGAAGATAATCTCTTCCTGTTATCACTATTTCAGTTCTTAGTACCCTGTTCCCAGTACCCTTATACTTAACACCCTGTTTTTAGAACCCTGTTCTCAGTACCCCTTACTTAATACCTTGTTCTCAGTGTCCCTATTCTTAGTACCCTGCTCTCACTACCCCTTTTTCAGTACCCCTGGAGAAGAAGAATAATAACGGTGTGTAAGCCTCTGATATTCAGATTGTTTGATTTGAGCGGCGTTGAAGGTTAAAGCCATTGCTCTGAATTGGACTTCTGACTGCAAAACTCCATTCTATCATTTGCTGGCTGTGTGGCCTTGAACAGGTTATTAAATGCCTCAGCTCCTTCCTCTGTAAGATGGGGAATAACATAGTTCTTATTGTTACTGTGGATATGGGAGGTATTCCATATCGAGTGTTCACACGTTGTCCAGCAGATAGTAAAAGTCAGTAAGCCTTAGCCATTATTATTGTTGTTATTGGTGTTCTTTGAGGTTGTTATTGGTGTTCTTTGAGGTTGTTATAGATAAGCAGATGCTCCATCCTGTGTGTTTTCCTTTTTTAAATAAAAGTTGTAATTTTTCAGTGCAGAAAAAAAAAATTGAATTTTGTTAAAAATGATCCAGAAAATAATTTTTAAAACAAACCTGTCCTAGGATGTATTTTGAAAGTCTTTAAATTTCTTAGGTTTTGGCTGGAGTTGAACAACTGCCTTATTGCTCACATTTTAGACTTCGTGATTGTTTACAAATGTAATGTTCTAAATATTTCTAAAATCCGCAGTCACCCACATATCACATTTTATTTGCACTGATTAGGGTCCGAGTGACCTCGTTCCCTTTTATCCCATTGCATCTTAATCAGGGTAAAAGGACTCTGAGAATTTTATGAAACTTAACATTTTTCCCAGAAAAATGCACACATGAAGGTATTAATTTTGTATGCACATTCATGGAGTTCAGGGCCCTTGTGGATCTTATATTTAAAACCTCCTCTACTCATATCCTTGTAAAATAGTATATTTTATCAAATCGTGCATTACATGGAATTATGGAAATAAGCATCTTACTACAGAATGAAAGTAAAGGTGGTCGTTTATCCCTTCTGTATGTTCCAAAAGTACCCATTCACTTCAGAATTCTTACAGAGAGAGGAGATAATCTAGTTCTTTTCAAGAAAGAAGTTATTTATCTATAGCTACTTTCTTTTTTTAGTGCCCACCGTTTCCATCTAGTTTGAGGAAAATGTACAAAAGATAAATTGATACTGAATTAGAGTCTCCCCCTCCACCCTCCACGAAATGAGCCTTAATAATTTTTGTATTTTAAAATTATTTTAAAATGATTTTTTGGGGATGAAAACTACTTGCTATAAGCAAGAAATAATCGCATACTATACCATTTGTCTGATTTTAAGGGACATTTTACCAGTTCTGAGGAGATTTCAAGAGCCGTAACTATCTTTATTGAACCGAGTGTAAAAATAACAGTGACAGGATTTATAATAAGGTCAACTCTGTCAACTATATAGTACTGCTTTAGTAGATATCATTGTAGGCTGAGACACTCTGGGAAGGCTTTGCAGAGAAAATGTCAGTTTAAGCCAGAAAGGATGGCAGATAGTTTATGCTTAATCAGCTAAGTTTATTACGTGCCAGGTACTGTGCTAGGCTGTAAATGGAGCCTCACATCATTCAGCAATGAGATAGGTGCTATATTTTACATATGTAGAAACAGAGGCACAGAGTGGTTAAGTAACTTGACCTAGGTCATACAGCCAGCAATTACTCAAATCTAAGCAATTTGATTCTAGAGCCTTCACTCTTACCCCTGCACTGTACTGCATCCCTAGAAATTTGGTAGGTAAGAAGAAAGAGAAGCACATGTTAGTAAACGGAAGTGGGAATATAGGAGATACTTTTGAGATCACAGCAAGTGGACCAATCTAGCTGAAGTGGAAACTTTTTGTGAAAAATTCATGAAAGATAAATTTGGAAAGAGGGTTTGAAGCCAGTTTATATTGTACTGAATGCCAAGCTATGGGGTTTTGGATTTGGAGTCTCTAAATGAAGGTTTCTATTCAGGAAGTACCAGGGGTTCCTACTCTGATGGAGTGGGTGGATTAAAGTCAGCCTATAGTTTAGAGCCTCTTTAGGAGATCATTATAGGACTCATAGATGGTAATGTGGTCTTCTGCCATAGTTTGAGCAGCAAGATTAGAAACTAAGGTATTTAAAATCAGTATTTCTTACACAGATCAAGGTTAAATAACGAACAAATGTATATATTTAGTCCATGAATCTGCAAGTTATGCTATGTGAGAGACACATAAAGGAACAAGGGATAAAAGAATTGACCTGGGGGATTGTGATCATTATTTAATATCTAAAAGGTTCTCATTTGGAAGGAGCAGCAGGTTTATTTTGCATAGTCCTGAAGTACCCAGGATTCAGGTGAAAATCACGAGAGATGTTATTTCAGCTGAACATAAGTAAAAGCCACCTAAATGTTAGAGCTATTCAAAACCAAATGGGATGCCTTGAAAGTTGGTAAGCTCCTTTGGATAAAAAGTGTTCAGAATCTTTGAAAAGGGAGTTCCAATTTTTATATAAATTTAGACTAGACGACTCAAGGTTATTTACATTGCAAGCTTCTAAGATTTTGTGATATTAACATTCTGAATCTACGTAGTGCTTTGTCGGAGATTATGAGAATACAGGATATTCTGCCATCAAGTCAGTTTCAGCATGTCATTTCTTGTGCACATAAAAGTGAAAGAGTCCCACGGAATGGTGGTTACTAGTGGGGAAGGGAAGATAAAGGGGATCAAATGTGGTGTGATGGGAGGACACACCTCAGGTGGAGAGCACACAATAGATGTATTTTAAAGTCGTACACCTGAAATTTATATATTATTAGTGTTATCCCAGTAAACTGATTTTTTAAAAAAAGAAACAGTGCTATAAATAAAGTTAACCCTGTGTGGAGAGAGGAAGGGAGTGATTCGAGAGCCTTCACTCTTACCCCTGCACTGTACTGCATCCCTAGAAATTTGGTAGGTAAGAAGAAAGAGAAGCACATGTTAGTAAACGGAAGTGGGAATATAGGAGATACTTTTGAGATCACAGCAAGTGGACCAATCTAGCTGAAGTGGAAACTTTTCGTGAAAAATTCATGAAAGATAAATTTGGAAAGAGGGTTTGAAGCCAGTTTATATTGTACTGAATGCCAAGCTATGGGGTTTTGGATTTGGAGTCTCTAAATGAAGGTTTCTATTCAGGAAGTACCAGGGGTTCCTACTCTGATGGAGTGGGTGGATTAAAGTCAGCCTATAGTTTAGTGAAAGAGTCCCACGGAATGGTGGTTACTAGTAGGGAAGGGAAGATAAAGGGGATCAAATGTGGTGTGATGGGAGGACACACCTCAGGTGGAGAGCACACAATAGATGTATTTTAAAGTCGTACACCTGAAATTTATATATTATTAGTGTTATCCCAGTAAACTGATTTTTTAAAAAAAGAAACAGTGCTATAAATAAAGTTAACCCTGTGTGGAGAGAGGAAGGGAGAAATTTTTGCTTTCTCTGAGTATTACAGTTTTCTTTTTTTTTTTTTATATTTTGAAACCTAAATGTTTAGGGATTCAACATTTTCTGAACAGGTTGGTAAATTTTCATGTAACGAAGGAGATAAAGGGGACATTCTTTCTAATAGACAACTAAGAAGCCAATAGAGAAAAGGCCAAGAGGGTAAAACAGCTTTGATAATAACCTAAATGAAGAGCAAAGGTAAATTCACATAAGGCTTCCTAATAAAACAGTTATAGTTTTATACTTGTTTAGTCAGATTTTTGGATGTAGTCAATATGGTAACATGTTTTTATAAGAGAATGTTTCAGTCAGCTAGAGCAGTGTTTTGTTATGCCAGGAAAATTTAAGTATTAAGATTCCATCAGATAACTGTGGGTGCATGTTCATTAGGAAATGCTGGTGGTTTTGTTTGGGTAATAATGTCTCAGTGCACGGTGTCACTTTAGAACTGACCTATTTTCTTTATGCTAATGTTTTCCAGTCTTTTCAAAACCAGTTTGTCATTTTTTGCCTAATGACTGCCAAATTTTGAAAGCTTTGTCTATCAATTGTTTCCTTAAGCAATTTTTCTGCCTCCTCATTTTTGTTGTTAATTGGGCAAAAGTATCAATTAGAATGTTTCATTAGCAATATATAAGTTGCCTTTGAGTTCATATATTTCATCCAAAGTCAGGCTGGAAGGCCTGGATAGCTTTCTATGAAGAGAATGCTCAGTTTCTACTTGGCTTTTTTCTTTTTTTTTTTTACAATATTGAAAATAACTCACAAGTAACTCTTTATTTACTTCCCGCCACCACCACGTTTGCCCCACTGATGATTTTAAGACTTCAAGAGACTGAAGATCCCAGGTTGGAAATCCTGAAGGGAAGGAGAGTGAGAAGTGTTATATAAAATTAATTGCCAACACTTTGCCTGTGACTTAATGAGGGACTTTCCCGAAGTCCCACAGGGGCTGGACAAGATGGAAGAGAAGCAAAGACCTGTGCATTACATCACTGAAATGCCTGTAAACATGGATTATTATATTATGTTAACTGTTAATACTATTTGTATTTTTATTATTTATCTCAGGAAAGTGCAGATAACATACTCTCCATTGTTAAACAAAGAACGGGATCTTTTGGGGATCGTCCTGCAAGACCTACTCTTTTAGAACAAGTATTAAATCAAAAAAGACTGGTAAGCATCAGTTTGTAAAGTAATTACAAATCTGTTAACAAAGGTTGTTATAAATGGAACTATTTAGATTTTTGAGATTTTAAAATTTATTAAACTGATCATCAGAATCGAATTGTACCTCTGCCAGTACACAGTGGGATCTCACAGTGCTCCCCCAAGAGTGTGTGAGCAGGAACACATTTAATCTTGTCTCTTCATGGACTAAAGCATGAATATCTGAGCAAGTGCTCACTTTGGCACTACATATACTGAATATCCGAGCAAGATGGGATTTTAAAACATTCTCCTTGTACCAAATTCTGGGGTTTGTGGAATAATGCTTTAATGGTATCGAGATACAGTTAAACCAATATTTAATAAGGATCTCTATTATAAATTTGATAGAGGATATTAAAACTCATTAAAACTCAGCCAGGGAAGGAGAGATTATTCAGTAAATAATGGAATAATTGGAAAATAATTTGAGGAGAAAAAATTTAGCTTGTCACATTACACTATACATCAAAATAAATTCCTGATAAAGATTTTTAAATTAAAAAAAATTAGAATTGGGACTTTATCTAAAAAATCTGGAATGAGAATTTTTTTATTTAAAAGAAATAGACAAAAGGTACAAATTGATACTTACAAAATAGTCATGGGATGTCAAGTACATCATAGGGAATATTGTCGGTAACATTGTATAACTAACTATGTATGGTGCTAGGTGGGTACTAGACTTATTGAAGGAATCACTTTGTAAATTACATAAATGTCTAACCACTATGTTCTAACATGATTAAACTAATATAATATCGAATGTCAACTGTAATTGAAAAATAAAAATTTTTAAAAACCAAAAAATAGATAAAATTACAAAGAAAAGATTATAAATCATACTGCATAAAAATGAATGCAGAAGTCAAAAATGGTTGTAAAAATAAAAATGCAAATTTCAAAATAACAGGAAAAATATTTGCAACAAACATAAAAAGAACTATGGCTAATATGGTTAATGTTTTATTGCATAAAATACAAATTGCTGAGGAAGCAATTTTGGCCCAATACGTCACAAAAGATATAACGAAAAAAAAGGAAAAATACTACCATTAAATGATATGAAAAGGTATTCAGTATCACAATATTGATAACAATAAGCGATAACAGTAAGCAAAAATAATTTAAATGATAACACACAGCGATGTTGAACTTCTGTGAAATGGGCACTCTCGTTCTGTTGATGGCATCAGTATTGGCACAACACTTCTAGAAAGCAGTTGGGCAATATGTTTCAGGATTCTTTAAAATGGTCATCCACTTTGATTCAGAAATCATATTTACTGTGAAACATTTGCAAGAAATAAATCCTAAATATGGATAAAGTTAGGCATAAGGATGTTGCCAGAAATGTATTAATCATAAATAGTGTAATGGTAGGATAAACAACCTAAATCGTCAACAGTTTCATAACAGCTAAGACTATTGTACATTTATTTGGTAGAATGTTAGGCAGTCTTTACAAATAAGTTTTAAACAAAACTGTTTAATACGTAGAAAATGTGCTATGTTAAATTTTAAAATTAGTATTTAATGATAGTATTTCCACTTTTATGTAGTTTATCTTTTTTCAATTTATTGGAGCCAAAGATTTTTTCTTCATCAATTTTATATGTAAATTATTATAACAAAATCACATTAACCATAATCTATTATATTTATTATATGATTACAACTACATTTAAAAATGATATGTGTACAAAAATATATTGATTATTATAGAGCAGTTTATTCTTTTGTGAAATTTTGGTAATTTAACTATCTATAGACACATAGCTATACACACACACACGCACATACATACACATACACACTTTTTAATTTCTTCAGAAAGACTTAGTAGTCTAGTAGGAGAAACTTGAGTTCCAGGACTAGTCTTAAATGTATTTCCAAAGTCACGTTGAACTGCTGTTTTCATATATGGCCCTTTTTCATTTCCTTTTTTTCTTGCTGTCGTCCTGGACCAGGGCTGTTCTTGGCTGTTTGCTTTTATGCTTCATAGAGAGTATCTATGCTGGCACATCATATAAAGCATTTCCTTTGAGTGCAAAGTCACCAGTAAGATCAGGTTTCACCTATTATTTTTAGGTTTTAGTAATTTGATGTATGTCATCAGATTTTATTATTATTAGTTTACAATTTAATTGCACTGCATCAGAGGCAAACATGAATTCAATTTAGGCATATTTTGTTTTCTAAGCGTATTGTATTGTGTAGGGACATATCAGAGTAATTTCATAGCATAAATACAATCTAATCCCATAGGAACAATACTATTAATAAATATTTTTTTCTTTTTTTAAGTCATTATTAAGAAGTCCAGAAGTGGTACAGTTTTTACAGAAACAGCAACAACTATTAAATCAACAAGTTTTGGAGCAAAGACAGCAGCAGTTCCCAGGAACATCAGTGTGAGAGAATGAAGAAGATCGACCTGGTTTTTTATCTTCTTGTAGTAGATGAGCATATTTTTATACCAAAGATAAGTGGGGTAAGATATGCCAGTGGAATATAAACAGTCATTTTCCTGTAAACATATGTGTGCATTTGGAGATAAATAAGTATTGCACTTTCAGATCACCATGAATTTGAAGAAATTAGCTTATCATTCCAAAATAACATTTAAGTACAATGTATTTTGAACTAAGTGTTCTTCTTCAGTCATTGTTACTGAAGGTAAGAAAGCAGTTACTTTCTGTGGAAGTCCCGAAGTTAATAGATATTAATCTTGAACCATCTAGCTTGGTGGTTCTTATCAAGGGGCAGTTAGAAATGTGTGGGTATGATTTTTGATTGTCACAGTGACTGTGAAAGCAGCTTGTTTTTAGTGAATGGCCAGGAGTGCTAAACGTTCTGTATTGTCTGGAATAGTCCCATACAACTAAGAATTATCTTACAATATAATTCCTCTTAAGAAACACTAATAGCTACTTGCGATGATAAAATACAGTTGGGGCACTTAGAATTGGGTTCTCATAACCTTTTCAATTAAGACTGAGGCTGTCACAGAGGTAAGCCTTTCTATCTATAGGGAAAGCTAAATAGTTAGATATCTATGAAATTAGGGTGTGCATCTCCTCGGAGATATGCTAGTACAACCTGAGAGAGGGATTAACTGAGTACACCAGAATGAATGCAGCTCCTAAAGTTGGCTTCTCTGCTTCATGTTACTTACTAGTGTTGACCCCTTTTAAAGCAGACACTCTTGTGTGCTAAATTTGTGAACAGCGTAGATAGAGCTCATCCCACCAATGCCAGGACAAAATTATTTTTTAATACTCATTTCTTTTTCTAAAAGAGCTCCCGAAAATAAAAACACTCCAGCATTTTGTTAATGCTTTTCAAAATTGAGCTGTTTTAAGGTTGTGTTATTCCTAAGCAATGTTCAAAGAATAATGGGTAATATAGACAGATACTTTTTCTTTTATTTTCTCCTAGGAAGATTTTTAAAAGGCAAACCTGCCAATAAAAGTAACAAATCAAATATTTCCAGTGATAGTACAATAAATATGTGTCTCAGGTTTAACTGCAAAAATGTGTTAGTTTCTTGGTTTTTAAACTCTGAAACATATATCAGGTTAAACTTAGTCACAACTGTTCTAAGAAGTACTTAAGGAGAGAAAGAGTCTTTTCATTTTTTATGAGTTTTATACCTGCATATCTGTGTAAAAACACTTTTACCAAAATTATTCATTAAAGTCCGGTTTTTGACTTTGAGTTGTTTGGCTCACTTATTCTGCTCTGTAGTTGCTTCACACTGGATTCAGAAGAATTCGTTTACATTTCTTATTAACTGTTATTCTTTTATGTTGTTAGGAGCTTTATTGAATTCCTAGAGTATAAGTTAAGTTTTATGGCAAAAAAAAGTCAACTGTGTTTCTTCAAACAAGAGGAGGAATAGGGAGGGAGGGAAAGTAATAGGCCAGTGAGAGCTGAATTAAAAGAAAAGGAATTTTTATATATCAATAAAACAATAAGGTTTTTTTTATTTGGGGTAGGTTTACTGCAATGTGTCCCCAATTTTTTATCCCTCCATGTAGTCATGACTTTCTCAATGTGACTTTGCTGCTCCCACCAAGAGGTTGAGTTTATATACCTCTTAAATCTGGAAGACGACCTTGTGACTTATTTTGGCCAGTGGAATGCAGAGAAAATAATATGCCGGCTCTGGGTAGATTTTAAAGGTTTTGAAAACTTCCACTTGTTCTTTTAGACCCCTACCATGGTTCCAAGCCCAGCCCAGCCTAGCCTGCTGGATAATGAGACATGTGGCCCAGTCCCTCTGTTGTACAAGCCAATAGCAGTAAACAGCCAGACAAGTGAGTGAAGCTATGTGGGACTAGCTATCCCCCAGCCAGCCTGCTAGCTGACTGCAGATACATTTGATCCCAAGTGAAATCCAAGCCTAACCCAGATTGGCAGAACCACCCAACTGACCTGTAGACTTGTGAGCAATAAGTGCTCATAATTGTAAGCCACAGAATTTGGGGGTGGTTTGTTATGCAGCATTCTTGAGACAGTAACTGATAGATGTAGCTGTATAGTTACTGCTGCATAACAGTTGACCCCAAAATTTAGTGGCTTAAAACAACAATTTACTATTATTTCTCACAGTTTTGTATATGGTACTTTGGGTATTAAATAGCCGTGTGCATGCTTTCACACTGGGTGTGGTAGACTATACTTTCCAGAGATGGCCACAACAAAGTTTCCCACTCCGCGTGCTCTTATGCAATGTGGCTTATTAAGAACTGGGTTTTATTTTTCTACCGCCTAAATCTGGGCAGTCCCTGTGACTGCTTTAACAGAATATGGCAGAAGCGACGCTATGCTAATTTATTTGAGGCTAGAGAAAAGGAGATATGGTAAGTATAGATGTGGTATTTTGTAGTAATAAGAACAGATAGGAATTCATAGATTCCATTGTCCAGCAAAGTCATCTGCTAATATGGAGTGGGAGAGTTGATGATAAAAGGCTCAAGGAAAAGGGAACAATCAAGAAGATACATAGAAGTCGATGAGAGAGATGGCTAGTAGCTAGCAACCTGCTAATAGACCCCTGATATCTTTTTTCCCTTCTTTCATAGTAATAGCCACACACCGATATAGCTGATTCTCACATAAAATCTTGCCAAAGAACCCAGACACAAATGATTTGTGGATGATTGCATTCATACAAAGTACAGAAACAGGTGAAACTGTTGTCAGAACACAGAGAAGTAGTCACCTTTGGAAGGGTATAGAGCCTGGGAGGAGGATTCTGGGGTTCTGGTAATATCTGTTCTTGTCCTGGATACTGGTTATGCATGTGTGTTTTGTTAATGAAAGTTCTGCAACCTATATATTTATGATTTTTGTACTTTTCGGTATGTATTTTTATTTCAGTTAAAAAAAAAAAAGACTATTTGTAAGCTGCCCTTCCTTGCAGCTGAGTGTGGCCACATGAGTAAGTTATGGCCAAAGAGTTGTGAGCAGAAATTATGTATGCCACTTCCAGACGGTGCCCTGAAAAAGGGAGAAGACAGCGCATTGCCCCTTTATCTTCATCCTGTCACTTGGAATATGGACAAATGAGGGTAATTCACTGGGGAAGGTGGAACAGGATAGAAGGATCCTGTGTCCTTGGATGGCCTCAGGGAGCAGAGCCACCATCCTAGTCTGGGATCCCCTATTTTTGGACTAATTCATGCAAAAGAGAGTATCTTTTGTCTGCCATAATTATTATAATGTCTCTGTTATCAGCCAAAACTATATCCTAAATAATGCCAGAGGTAAAAGGTTTGATGAGTGGCATTAAAGAGTTGACCTCCTGGAAACCATGAATCTATAATGGCAATCTGCAGTTATGTGACTGCAGGTGTCAACTAGCCATAGTAGGAGGAGGATAGATTGCAAGCCTGATCTCAGATTCATTTAGTGGGAGATAAGGAAGTTAGGAAGCTTCTGAGACAGTACTTTCAGTAATAGAAGATGGAGTTCTGGCTGAGCAGAAAAGAAGCCAACAGGGAATGGAGTTTTTTATGACCTTATAAAGCAAATGTCGAAAGCATGAGAGAGCACAAGATATTTAAGCTAGGAAACTAATAGTACTCATCACAGTGAATTAACGACTGCCCCAATCTTCATTAAACTCTGCAACAGCATGTATATCAATAAATCAAACTCTTCGAAATTCTCAGTAATAAAACTATTCCCAGGCTTTCACTTGAAGAGCGTGAGCTACAGGGAGTGAATAAACAAAACTGTAGGATTTAATGACAGAAAATTCACTCAAGAAGGGCTCACTTCAGGGAAAAACCCAGAGTGATTTCGCTTCAGCTCATCAACCAGAAGCTCTGGAATATTGCAAAAACTTGCTAAAAGATGATAATAAAAAGGAAAAAAGAAAACTATTTAAAAGATGTTTTGCTTCAGGAGTAGTTAATCCAAACTACCATGGAGAAAAAGGAGACAACCAGCCAGACAGCCCTCACATGAAGTGTCCATCAAAGGCATTATTGGCAAAAATTGTAAGTGCACTATAGTTAAAGATTTAGGTATATATACATCTTTTTTTATCCAGTCATCTATAGAAGGACATTTTGGTTGTCTCCATGCCTTAGCCACTGTGAATAATGCTGCTATGAACACAGGGTGCCTATATCTTTGAAGATAAATGTCATATATACAATGGAAAATTGCTCAGCCATAGAAAAGATGAAATACTGCCATTTGCGACAGCATGGATGGATCTCGAGATAATCATGCTAAGCGAAATAAGTCAGACAGAAAAAGTTGAGAACCTTATGATTTCACTTATATGTAGGATGTAAAACTGAAAATAACAAACATGACAAACAGATTCATGGACACAGATAATGGGTTAGTGGTTAGCCGGGGTTGGGGAGTAGGGAATACGTAAGGATAAAGGGGTGACAGAAGGAAATTTAACTTTTGGCGAGGAACACAATGTAATATACATATGACACTATTGGATTTTACACATGAAATTTATATGATTTTATTATATTCCCAATAAATGTCATCCCAATAAATTTTAATAAAAATTACGAAGAGGCAAATACAAAGGATCATTACTAATGTTACCAAAAATTATATGTAAAGTATGTACATGTTTGTTTATAAAATTGAAAGTTGCTTCCATAAAGGAAAACCGGGGTGCCGGTGGCATGGCTTAGCCGAGATGCTCAGCAGCTGGGAAAATACCTTTTATCGAAAAACTCCTTTGTACTGCTTGAACTTTTACCTTTTCAAAAACGTTTTTCTTATTCCAAACTGAAATCTTGTTAAAATTGAGAAGGATAGACAGTTTACACTTTTTCCTTTGCTTTCTATTTCAGTTTATGGGAAGAAATATGTTTTTACTAATGAATCTTTATTTCCATATATGTAACACTCACCTGTAGCGCTATTTCCTCCCTGGAGTGTCTTATCTGTTCCGAGGCCCAAAATGTATACTTCTCTACTGGAAGTTCATGAAGAAAGCATAGTCTAAAGACAACATGACAAAATGATACCAACTTTCTAGCACTTTATTGCTTTAAAAACAGTTCTGCATACATACTTGCTCTTCACAATAATCCCGTAGTGTATGCACAATTATTATTTTATCAATGCACAGGCAAACTTGCAGAGGTTTAGCCGCTCACTTAAGATCGCACAGCTATTGGACTTAGATCCAAGCCTTCTGATTCCCTTCCTGTACACTGTCATGTGATCCATGTAAGTGATCATGGTGAGGCCAGTGCAGTTTGAACAGGCACTTTGCATTTGACAATGGATGCAGTATCACTGGGCCATAAGAAAAAAGCCTTTGTGTATTAAGCTTGAGTTTGAGAATGTTTAAAAGATAAATATTATTTAAACTAACCATAACTATATTACTTTAGAAAGTATTTTCACATGTGCTAATTCATTTGAACCTCAAAACATGGCAAGTACAAGTACTATTGTCTCTGTTTTGGGATATGGAAAGAAACAGAGAAATTAAGTGACTTATAAAACAGGTGTTAGTCTTAGAGGCAGAGCCAAGATTTGAACCTAAATTTTCTGTCTTCATAAATGATGATTTTAGCACAGTAGGATGTTGCTGAAGTAGGAGCTAACCCCTTAAAGTGCATAGTTTTGAGCACAGTAGGCACTGCAATAAATGCTAATTTTTTAAACTTTATGTACACACAGATATTTTATACAAAAATGCTAATGTAGTTATACTGTGTATCCTGAAGGGTTTTTGTTTAGGTCCCTTCTTTTGTTCCTGTTTTTGGTTCTCCCACCTTGTCTTTCACGCACCGCCCAACTTCCAGGTAACCTATGTCAGCCGTCTGGCATGTATTCTTATCTTTTCCATGCTCATGTAATTTCATATAAACACACATATGTACACATTTTGCAACTGTCACTGTTACATAAAAATGTGGGCACAGCAGATCACATGGCACTGTGTTGCTTTCTCATGCACCAGTACTGGGTAGGAGCCCCATGAATCACTTTTCATAGCTCCAATCCATTCCCGTAGGTGGCGGCACGGCCTCCGGTGCTGTGGATGTTCCATTGCAGCCAATCGGTCCGTTGTTGATGGGCATTCACTTGGTGTCCAGTTCTCTGCCACTATGAACAGTGCTGCAGCAAACATCCCTATAATGTGTCCTCGTGTACCAGTGTGTACTGGTGATTCTATGGCCTTGGGATAGATTCTCAGAAATGAGAATTGCCAG